ATCAGGACAGTGTAATGTGGGACGCTTCCCCCCCACTTCCTTGTCAGAGTCACTGCAGGAATGTGTAGTTAGATCCACTTTAGGCGAAAGTGGCTGCGTCGGGAGCTGTGTTCTTGCCATGGTTTCTCTTAGGAAAACGCCCAGGGGGCTAGCATGTCAATCAGTTGTTTAACACAAATTACCTGCTCTCCCAGAGATCAGTCACATGCAGAAAGCTTTGTCCAATTCTTTGAAAAGGTGACTTTTTTTTTCTTTTTGCTGCTTTGAAGTTCGGTGGAATTTAGAAATTTGAAGGAGTGAATTAGGAGCCTGAATGAAATGTTTTGGAATATACATATACATGTATAAAACAAGAGACACACGCATTTCTTTCACTATTATCAACACAAATAGAGGAGGAAGAAGGCTTTCTGTTTCCAAGGTGTGACTTGGAAAGATATAGGGCTCTAGGGCTTGTAGTTGTTAACGGAAATAATTTTTTTTCAGACCCATCACCTCAACCTCCCAGCATTTCCAGTTACTGGCTAGGTGGTGTACCAGGGCAACTCTTTATGGGAATATATTGAAAGCCACTCCTGTGGATTCCTATGAAGTACCTGGAGAGAGGGAGACAACGGAAGGGGGTGGCGATGGGAGGGGGACACTAGTACTGACCCCTTGGTCTTGAGACCAGAGCAGTTGTAGATAATCAATATCCTGAAAAAGTTATTATAAATTCTTCTGGGTAATGTCTTTATACAAATATTTTTAAACATTCATTTACAGAAGAATTCTAAATCTCAAGTTCAATAATATCATAGGACTACCACTCTAAAATTCTGTTTTGCAAGTAAAAAAAAAAAAAAAAAAAAAAAAATTCACTCATGCTGCTGAATAAAGCCAGAGACAGGGAGACTGCGCTAAGGTAATTACAACATAGTAGAATTCATGTAAATGCATGCCGTGTAAGATTCCAGGCTATCCAGGCAAAGCCATCCATCAGATCACTGAGACTAGAATCCACATTAAAAAAATGCATTTTACTTCCTGTAGCACTTCCTAGCTTCCTAGAGGCTAGGGTTGTGTTGTCTTTGATTCAAGATGTTAATTAAGACATGACACACCTACTATGTTCTAGACCATACAGTAGGCACTGAGGGGTGAAGAAAGAAAATTACTGCCCTTGAGAAGCTCACTGGCTACAGCTGTCAGTAATAACATCTAATATTTATTGAAAGCTTACCATGAACTAGACAATGATGTAGAAGCTTTATGGCAACTCAGTTAATACTCCCAACAACCCTTTAACATCGCTGGCAATTCCATATGCTGAATTCACATGGAATTGAATTGAAATCTACAAAGTAGCCAGTCTATGGGGTGCCAGGGGGTGGTTGTTTTTCATTTCTACAACGTTTAAGCCAGATATAACATGTTATGGTATATGTCGGGTTGCAGAATTATAACTCAGGGGAACAGCAATTTATTTCAACGTGACAAATTTATGCGTCGTCTGTAAAGAACAATTCATGCTTTGATCTGGCTTTTCAGATCGAACGGTGAGTTTTAAAAAAATTATTAGTGTTGCCATACTAGAAAGATCTGCCACTGATCTTATTCTGCATTTTAACTGCCTTCAATTCTACATTCACTTGAAAGCGGGGGGACCAAAATCAGATTGGCAACAAGTTTTGCAGACAAAAGGAAATCCTGGTTGTAAATCCCATGATATATTGTACCCAATTTTGTATATAATACTGTCTAATGTGCCGCCTTATTAAAGAATTCCATGTCCACTTGGTTTACATTAGAGGGAAACTTAACTACAGTTTAACATATAGTTCATTTTCAACACTGTCATGTTACATTCATAGGGAGCACATTTTCATTTCTTTATCAGTAATCAACTGGAAGTTTCTTTTTGTTAAATTAAAGCAAGAAGGGTTTTTAAATAAAGGGCATGGGGGTAGGACGCCACCTTTTGGTGGTAAAACAAACAGAAGTCCCTTTTCTAAACACATGCTCCTGACATAATTTCATTTTTAATCACACCGAGGCAAAGGTGCTTGTCCCCATTTCGTTATAGTTTAAGTAATAGGAAAAAACTGTAAATTCAAAATTAGCAAACTATAGTTAATTGCGGCCAAAATTTCCCCAAAGGTATCAGAGCATTTGAGGTCTCTGTCACATACTGTTAATTATATGTAACACCAACTTTGTTCTGCAAATACTGTGTCAATGAACATATGCACATCTTGGGGGGACAGAAAGTGGAGTGGACATTTGCCACTTAATGAGATACCTGAATCTCTTATAAGTTTAAACAGAAACTTTAAAATCGCTTAAGTCAGTGTTTCTTTAACTACAGTTACCATCTTCCTAACTTTCACCATATCTACGTAACATAATAGTTCTTGAAAAATTAATATACTGCACTCATTGCAGTACAGTTATTATGGTAATTGTACTAAATATTTTCCTGTAAAGCACCCACATTTATTTTTCTGTTACTATATTAAATGGGAAATCATATCACCTTCCATAAATTAAAAACAATCACAGTAAAAACAAAGTTACTGATTTCTCTTTGTTAGAAAGAGTGGCTGAAAAACTAAAATGAAAAATGAAAAACTTTTTTAAAAAGGAAGAGGGGCAAGCCCTGAAAAGTGTTAACGACATGTATGTCAACAGAAAATTGTTTTCTCTGTTGTTTTTGTTGTTGTTGTTTGAGCAACCAGAAGGATAGAAAATGATTGCAAAGGGAGTCTAGTTCTCAATATGTAATTCAATGTTATCTAATGCCATCCCCGTGGCAAGACTCCTACACTCTGAGAAACAGGCAAAACCCAAGTATGTATATCAAATTACAGATTAACAAGCTGAGGCCCAGGGAGGTTAAATTGTCCTCCAGGGCCAAATAATTAGTGGCTAGACAAGGATTCGAATTCAGGTGTCCTGACTCAGCACCGTTATGTATTTCCATCTCACACTCTCCACTTCACCAAAGTGATGTGCCACCCGTCCTCAGAAATTATTCGGCCTGCCTAGTTTCTCAGAAACAGCCAACCCACATGCCCCTTTACAGACAGGAGAGAAGCTGAGGCCACAGAGGGTAAAGATCAAGGTCCACCCCCTGCTCACCCTCTCCTCTCCCCCAGGTGTGGCAGATATCCAGGTGTGGATAAACACAGTGAAGAAAGGAGGAAAGGGGTGAGCAGGAGAGAAGGGGCGGAGGGGAGAGTGGGGGGAAGGGAGCGGTTAGTAAAAGTGGTCAGAATGCTCTAAATGAAAGCTTCCACTCCTGAGTGTCCTTCCTAGGAGAGAAAACTGGCTAATGAAAATCACGTGTTTCACAGTAAGTGGCAAGAGAAGTGTGTCCTGTGTTGTGATGTGACGATATGCCCACATCCGAAAACAACAGAGGCTCCCCTGTTGTAAAGTGTGGTCAGCACTCGGTAACCACTGGTTCTGCCATCCACGGATTCAACCCACTGTTTAGACTATTTGGTGGGTTGAATCCGCAGATGCAGAACCAGCAGATACGCGGGATGTACTCTAAGGGACTTGAGCATCCGCAAATTCTGGTATCCAAGGGAGGTCCTGGAACCAATCCCCTCGTACACTGAGGGACAACTGTATACAATATTATCAAGGACTCTGAGACAAACCACATTTGATAACTGAGAGGCTTGAAAAGCTAGTCAGGGAATGGTAAAAGATCCCAGCTCTCAAAGGGTTTTCCCCAATGCCAAAACTTGTTCAGAGGCTTAGCATTAAAACTAGAGACAATAATGCACTTTCTGAGGTTTTAACCACGGGGGGCGGGGGGGCCTTAGTTACAGGGATTGCATTTCCTGTTTTCTTTTAAGGGCACAGCTCTATAAATGTAAATAAACATGGCCTGCACATGTTTTTATGTTTTTCTAAATTGGTGCCTGTGAAAGAGGTTGTTGATATGCACAATGCACAATAAAGTATTTGGCCAAGTACCTCCACTCCAACAAGCTATTCTGGTCC